TTCCGAAGCAGAAGCGGATGATTAAAACGCACCTATTAAAAATATTGCGCCAAGATGTAGGCAACACGTAATAAGGGTTCAAAATGGCGGAGATTTCTATCTCCTTTTAAAAGGCACTCAGAAAGCTGCGCAGTGCGACCATTCTCCGTATAGTAAAAGAACTCTGTTTAGCCCACAAAGCACATAGAGGTTCCACGTGAATGACCAAGGTCAAAACCGACAACTGACATTTTTTATGCTATTTGCTCCAAACTCTAGATGGGGCTACTGGTGAAATTATGATTTCTTACTCCATTTTTAAGCCTTATGGGAGAAAAACTTAACCAAAGACTCCAAAGATGTGACGTGTATTTATTTATGTTCTTGGTTAGTTTCATTTTTCCGTCTGATTTTAGTGATTTTTTGTTGGCTTTGGCTTTTGGTTTCTGTTTATAGTTTCGTCTTAGTTATTTGCAAAATTGTGATGTTTCGCTTTTTTATTTCCAACTGTGTTTTGCAATAATTTTGGTGCTCCGTTGAAAACTTCGAGAAAAACTTCATTGATTCACCATATATTCACCATGCATCTGCATCATAAAAAGACAAACGGGGACAACAACTAATTGATAATCAATTTATCACTGGACTAGATTCCGAAATCTGTATCACCATCTGTATTTGGAAGGAAAATACCTATTTATCATTGAATGAATAGTTAAAAGGATTCACCTTTTAATACAATACCTATATTACATTTGTCCTCAGTTAAAAAGACATTTATAAAATATATAACTTTAGTGTTAATAAAATGTAATATCCTAGTCTCTACTTCACATTTAAATTATTGATAGGTATTTTAAAGATTTGAGATTATATATCTATTTGCTCCAAGTAAGTATTCGTTAAATATGTTTTATTATTTGTATTTATTTTTATCTAATAATATTTATTTAAGTTATTAATAAACATATTTTAAGAATGTTCTATTTTATTATTTATTGATATATCTTATATTTATTTAATAAAAATATGCAGAACCAACTCTCCACATTAGACCCCTTATAACAAATTAATTCTTCAAATTTGGTATAATCGACCTAAATTATTTTGTAAAATAAAAGTTTCGAACTTACTAGTTCCATACTTTATTTTATAAAATAATTTATGTGGAAATCATTTAAAATTTAATTTAAAACTACTACCTACTCCTAAAAATTACAATTTGAATTTACCGCCATCTGTCAATTGTCATTTTAGTTCCAGCTCCAAACACAAGGTAGCGCTAATTTGGTTTAAAACCCAGTATAAAAATATCTTTATACTGGGGTTTAAAAGTTTAACATTGGCTGCGTTCATCCGCGCCACATGCTACCTGATCGATCTGGTAGCGCTCTCGAGTGGCACGTATGAACGGTGTATTTTGACATTTCGCTCAAGGAGCGGCCGCCATATTAAAAGTAGCGCATTTTATTTACGTCTGATTGGTGATCACTGATCTGTCTTACTCACTTACGTCCACGGTTTGCTTGGTGACTAGTAGGGTTATATTAGCATATTAGCAATTGAAAAATAAACAAACAAATCTTCAACCAGAGACATTCAACTCAAAAGTAAAATGAATAAACCAAAATCAAATAGCTATATCAAGCTAGCGGGCACTCTGTGGCGGCACCATTCAAGACCTGGCGGGTTTTTTGTAGCTTTTTTGTAGCTTTTTTGTTACACTATTTGCAAATTTGTAGCTTTGCCCAGGTCCGAAAAAACAGCGGATCCGCTAGCTTGAATTTCCATAAATTCCATAGTAGCGGCACAGATTCAGACCCAGCTGGTTTTTCGTAACTTTTTTGTAGCTTTTTTGTTACGCTAGTCTCCCTTTTGTAGCTTGTACTGAACCTGAGAAAAGCGCGGATCCGCTAGCTTAGCGGATATTTGTAGCGGCACCAGCCCGGACTCGGCTCATTTTTTGTAACTTTTTTGTAGCTTTTTTGTTACGCCTGTCTCTATTTCGTTGCGAGGCCTGAACGTGAGTAATAATCGTTTTTCCATGAAGTGAGAGAAAAGTGCGTTAATTTAAAATCAAGTTTCGGCCTCTACAAGTAATGTGTGCAACTCGATAGTGTGACTATCTGTTGATAGATGGCACCAGTATTGCATTTCACGAATTATGGACATCTTCCATCCAATATATTTTTGAGAAATTTAGATATCTCAAAATCGGACATTTTCAACGGTATGTATATTAATTATTTGTCCGATATTAATGTAAAATACATATTGGCAAGATTATTAAAATAGTTGTATGCCGGACGCCACTATTTTGCCGATCGGGTGTTTTCGGTTATTTTTAACCGACTTCAAAAAAGGAGGAGGTTCTCAATTCGTCGCGATATTTTTTTTATGTATGTTCAGCGATAATTCTTTAACAAGGTGTCCGATTTCAATGATTATTTTTTTGTTAGAAAAGGGGTACTTCAGGGGTGGTACCATATATATTTGGCCAAAATCTAATAATTGGGTCCATGAGAAAATCCTCAAACTCTTCATTTTTTATGTATGTTTAGCGATAATGCTTTACCACCTTGCCCGATTTATATGATTCTTTTTTTGTTAGTAAGGGGGTACCTCGGGGTGGTCCTATATATAAATTTGGAACGTTTTTGAAGTCGGTTTTTTTTAATTTTAAATTTCTAATACTTGTTACTGCTAAAAACTTACTGCTAACTTCACACCGGTGGTAATAGCTACCAAGCAATTACCTATTCTCACTATATACAGGGTGTTCCATCTCAGACGAGCCACCCCGTATAGTTCTTATCCCATAGTAATTGGAAACATTTCCCGAAACACGTCTGATGATTTTCTTTGGGGGACATCTTTTGACGTATATATATATTTGAGGCTTGAACGAGCAACCCCCTATAAGGGGACGCTTCAACCCCTCAAAATTGATTAGGGAAGAGGGGTTGGGTGATACTTCATTTATAAGGTCTTGGAAGCCTCTTTACAAACGGTGTATGAAAAAAAATCAATTGTTTTATCATGCTTACAATCAAAAAAATCAAAACTGCGTTTTTAAATGAAATGTTCAATTTGTCTTCCATTGACTTCCATGCAATAATAAATTCTCTCGAACTAATAAATAAAAAAAAATCAAAACATTTTCTTATCTTGCCTTCATTTTTTTTGTTCTTCGATCATTTCATGTGATAAAACAATTAATTTTTTTTAAGAATGTGATTTTTTTCATACACCGTTGTAAAGAGGCTTTCAAGACCTTACAAATTATGTATCACTCAACCCTTCTTCCCTATTCCATTTTGAGGGGTTGAAGCGCCCCCTCATAGGGGGTTTGCTTGTTCAAGCCTCAAATATACGTCAAAAGATCGATGTCCCCAAAGAAAATCATCCGACGTGTTTTGGGAAATTTTTCCAATTACGGATAAGAAATACGGGGTGGCTCGTCTGAGATGGAACACACTGTATAGTTGTGATCCGACAGAATTAAACACTGGTCCATAAATACTGCAAAACGATTGGTTAAGGAAATCATTCAAAAAAGATGTAAGAATATTTTGGATTCAACAAAAGTTTAAATACGTACATAAACAACACTAAAAAACATTTAAAAACAAATGTCCGATTTTGAGATTATATCTAAATTTCTCAAAAATATATTGGATGGAAAATGGCCATAATTCGTGAAATGCAATACTGGTGCCATCTATCAAAAGATAGTCACACTATCGAGTTGCACATATTATTTGTAGAGGCCGAAACTTGATTTTAAATGAACGCACTTTTCTCTCACGCTCATGGAGAAACGATTATTACTCACGTTCAGGCCTCGCAACGAAATGGAGACAGGCGTAACAAAAAAGCTACAAAAAAGTTACAAAAAATGAGCCTAGTCCGAACTGGTGCCGCTACAAATATCCGCTAAGCTAGCGGATTCGCGCTTTTCTCAGGTTCAGTACAAGCTACAAAAGGGAGACTAGCGTAACAAAAAAGCTACAAAAAAATACGAAAAACCAGCTGGGTCTGAATCTGTGCCGCTACTATGGAATTTATGGAAATTCAAGCTAGCAGATCCGCTGTTTTTTCGGACCTGGGCAAAGCTACAAATTCGCAAATAGCGTAACAAAAAAGCTACAAAAAAGTTACAAAAAACCCGCCAGGTCTTGAATGGTGCCGCCACAGAGTGCCCGCTAGCTTGATAGAGCCAAATCAAATGTCACTTTTAAACATGGTTCATCCGTGCATAAAGATCGATCAGGTAGCGTAAGTGATCGCTACTTTTGTAGCGCTCCTTGAAATGGCGCGGATGAACGCAGCCATTGGCGTGGGGTCTCTAGAAGATACATGCTTTGTGGTTGCAAACAGCAAAATTTATTTTTAGTTCTAAATTTAGTACTAAATTAATAACTTAATTTAGTGCTAAATTTAGTACTAAATTTAGCATCGTGTCATACAGCCTTAAAGAATAAATAGTAATTCCTCTACTTGCCAAATGACGCCATCATGTTGATAGTAGGCGAGTTCGGATAGTCAGGGGCTGGAGCGGGACAAAAGCGGAGTTTTTTTAGGGTGCTTTTAAATGACATTTAAGCGTGTTAAACTGTCACTAATCGGACTAAGGGTGAGATTACAGAACGTCTGCAACTTTGCAGATCTGCAAATATGGCGGCAACTTTGAAAATCTGCAAATATGACTGACTTACACATGCAAGTATCAAGTTTTCGTATTCCAAATTTGGGTTTAGTGTTGTTGGGGGTAATAAACCACAATAAATATTGAGAATTTGCAGATATTTTTTGGAATACTTACATTTGTAAGTCCGCCATATTTGCAAAGTTGCAGATGCAAAGTTGCAGACGTTCTGTAATCTCACCCTAAACCGAACGCTAAAAGGGTCGTTTGGAGTAAAAAGTGTTAAAGGAGTTAAAAGAACGTGGCAAACCGAACGCAATGAGTGTGGTTGATAGTGACATTAGACTGATGCGCATCCCTAAAAAACTCCTAAGAGCATCCGCTCCTTGCGGTTTCTAACCTCAACTTTCATTCATTCTGTTTTCTAACAAGATGGTGGAAGTGTTAAATTAAGTAATTTTTTCAAGAAATTACGAAATTCCAAGGGATGTGTGTGGTATAAATATTAAATATATGTGTTTATAATTATATTATGAAATCGAATCTAAAATTTTAATTTACTTCAAGCTAAACGTTAATTTATTAGCAAATTGCTGATAAGGAGTTTATTACTGAGTTTACTATATTTATTATTTGAAATTTTGTCTTATTAACAAAATGTCTTCATTACTATGCAAGAACTCTGTTGTAAGGATATACCAAGAAGTAATTGACGACGTAATAGCTGGAGTAAGGGAGCATTTCCTAGAAGATGGAGTCGATGAAGTGGTCCTTCAAGAATTGAAACAAACATGGGAAACAAAACTGTTGAGCACCAAAGCGGTTCAGGAAGAACCGGTGGAAAAGAAGAAAATGGAACATGTTGCTAGTAATGGTTTTCCTAAAGTTGTAAATAATACTATTACACAAACTAATACTCAGCAATCTATTCAGCAACAACCTCCACAATTACAACCCCCTCTGCAACACCTTGATAAATTAGTAAGTAATTTAAACACACTATCAACTGATACAAAATCAATGTCATGCATTCTTTATCAGTTTAATTTTATTGATTAATAGTTCCAACAAATAGATATACTAATTTCCATTGTATTTTTGTATTTAAAAGTGCTGATAAAAGTTTTATATTGTTTTATAAAAATGTTATGAAAAAACAATTTAAATTAGTTTTAAATTAACTAGGTAGGTACCTAGGTATTTATTGAATCCCAAAATTTAAGCAATTTCTGTTAGGGTCCTGGCAGTACTTATGGCCACTACCCTACTTATGACCGCTACCCTACTTATGGCCATTTGTTGCTTTGAGATCTGAAAATAAGCTTTTGTCAACAATGTAATCTAAGTGGTGGGTTAGAGGATGTACATGAGCATGTGTCAATATGATTGGATAGGTTTGCAACTAATAAACTAAGGCCACTGTAAATCATAAAATACATCATTAACATGTAACATGTGTAATATATGCAAGCATTACTTATTGTTTTGGCTAATAATTTATCTGCACACATCAGGACAAAAATTGGATCTAGTAAGGATATTTTTGAATATGCAATTTCCAGAGGTAAGTAGATATTAATACTCAATGTAGTTTGTTTTCAACACCATATTTTTTTTAAATTAGAAATGACTAAAAATCATAAATTCATATTTTATTTAGGGCCACCGCAGATATTGTGTGGGTTGAGGGGCAATTGAGTTATTTTGTATTCTTTCTTTAACTTGATGTTAATATGCTGGAGCAATTTGCACTAACAAATAGAAGAGGTCATGATTGGGAAGGTGCTGAAACAGCATCCGAGTTATATAAAATTTCGCTATCAATTACAAATTACATTCCTCATACCCAAAACATTACTAATGAAGATGACAAATATGCAGGACGAGTCTGAAGCAGAATTACATCATGATTCGGAAATTGTTTCTACACCATCCTTGAATTCAAGTTCTTATTGAGGAGCTTCTGTACCTTACACATATAAAAATGCTCAATCACTCTAACCTGTTCAAGGCTGTTCAAGGCATAAGTAAAGAACTAGTGGGGGACTGATGGCCAAAAGTAAAGAATTTCTTCCAAATTTAATTAAAAAAATTCAAAAAAGAATCACATGCTATTAACACAATAGATGCAAATATTCTTGAAAATTACATACTTCAACCTATCAACTATTTTTATTTATTTTTTCTATTAGAATATGATTGATAAATTGGCCCCACAAAAGCATTTTTGTCTTAAGGTGGCCATAAGTAGTGCCATGAACATATTTTATACTTTGCAAAGCTAACTAAATAGTACCAACTGTGTACTCGAAAATAAGTATGATCTATTTAGATACAGAGTGACCCACTTGAAAGCAAGCTACCCTCATACATTTTTTATTTATGGAGTGATTTTGATGATTTTTTTTTTTAATTTTGGAGGGGGAAAGGTGTATTTTGGAGCCAAGCTGCGACCAGTTTTTTTAAAAACCAAGGCCTATTTATTATTTTTTGTTATCGTATGGGTTACTAGATAAAAAGCTTCTTAATGTATAATAAACAACTTGTCAGTAATTTAGTCATAAAATCGTTAAGTAATGTTGACTATTTTTTGCATAAAAGTTGGTGCAGATCTATTTCAGAGGACACCGATTCCAGTGGCGTAAGCGCAAATTTCTTCGAAAAAAAAAAAAAAACAATCGCTAAAATGGATTCTGGATTTTTCAGCCTGTAAATGTGATCTATTCAGCCTGTAAATGTGATCTAGTAGGTGTTGGTTTTAAAAAAACTGGCAGCCGCTTGGCTCTAAAATACACCTTTCACCCTCCACATTAAAAAAAAAAAATTTCTTCAAAATCGCTCTATGATAAAAAATATATGCGGGTGGTCCGCTTTCAAATGGGTCACTCTGTATATAAGTTATATGATTTTCAAAAATTGTAATGTACCACTGTTAAAATCACTTTCAAATTATCTACATATGAAACAATTATTTGTATAAACCTTATAGAAACTTTCAAGTTAGAATAATTTATTGAATAGGTATCATAAGTAGTGATGTGTGCTGGGTAAATAAAAATACCTGAAGTTCCGAAAAATACCCAAAACGAGGGTATAATGAACACAGCTCGCTATTGGTGTACTTCCAAATCTGTTTCTCATGTAGGCTGTTGCGAACGCTGCCTTTTATGTGTCTGTCGTCTGCTTGTCTTAGAATGCAAAAGTCTTTCTTTTATGGTTTATTTTTAAATTGATTACATTTGAAAATTGGGATTTATTTCCTTTAGGTTATTATTCCGCCTTGTTCTAGAGAACTAGATACTACAGAGAGCTTTGATTTTGCTTTCTAAATGCAGATGGCATTTAATATCTACACAATCCTAACTGCTGTTAATGTATAAGAGCGAATTTTATATTACCATCAGACTCCATTAGAGAGTGGAGTCGAGGTAATCTATTTCTTGCTGAAGACTCCTAATAAGGTCGAATGATTTTTTCCTCAGGAATTGAAAGTTAGAGTGTTGAAAATTATTTTTTAACTGCTATAATGCAATGCCTGGGGTATTAGCCAAAGGAGTAATTATTTTCAAAAGGAAATGATCTCATTCATGTTTCTGTGACATGGTCTTTTAGTTTTCATTTTTTTTTTATGGTTTATAGTTTTTTAGATTAATGTGAGTTTTATTTCTTACATGTCTTAAGGTATAATTTATGGAGTAAAATTGGGACAATAATAAATTGATTAAACTTCAACTTGACAAACACTTGCTAGTTAAATGAAAGTTTTCATTAAAATAATAGCAAAAGGAGTTCTGTGTTAGCCTTTAAAGAGTAAACACGTATTTCGGGACACAGATAATAGTACAAGTGATATACGCATTTGAGACAATGTCAACTGAAAGTGATGGCGAATACTCCGAAATGGAAATAGATGACTGCGAAGTTTGGAAAAAAGTGAAAAGAAAACGGAAAAACAAAAATGGCCCAGAGAAAACACCAAAAAACCTAAAGACACCCTTTCTCAAGAAGAAATTAACAAAATAATTTTGGGAACAACCACTCCTACCAATAGCCAACAAACAACTGATATCAACTCAACAAAAAGTAATACCACAAAAAACCCAATAAACAACATAAATACACTGCCCAACAACCAAAATAACTTTAAGAAATATAATAATTCTTTAAAAATTAAAGAAATTACGCAAAGATCGTTCAGCCTCGCATTTTACATAAAAGCCCCAGAAACAATGACAAGAAAAACACTATCTGATTTATGGGATAACTTAAGGAGGTCCTTTCGCCACCAATGTTAAATAAAAAATATTAGATTATGACTAAAATTAATTTTTTTCTAATAGTAGAAGTCCTTATTTATCTAATAGTGAACTTTTAACAATACCTTACCGTGCAAATTTTTGAGAATTTTTTTTTTAAATGTGTGTACAGTGTCTTACGAGAAAGTAAGACTTCAACAACAATTTTCGAATTATAATTAATTTTACTGTTATTTATTGGTTAGATGGAGTAGAAAAAAACTAAAAATAAGGTTTTTGAAATATTTAGGTTTTGTTTTTTACAATAAAATATATAGGTTACCGTGGAATTTATTGAGAAATTAATATTAACAAGTATTACAAATTAAAAATTTAAAAAAACCGACTTCAAAAACGTGCAGATGTCATCACCACATCTTAACCAAATTTATATAAGACCACCCCTGAGGTACCCCCTTACTAACAAAAAAAGAATCGTATAAATCGGACAAGGTGGTAAAGCATTATCGCTAAACAAACATAAAAAATGAAGAGTTTGAGGATTTTCTCATGAATACAATTATTAGATTTTGACCAAATTTATATGGGACCACCCCTAAAGTAGCCCCTTTCTAACAAAAAAAGAATTATTGAAGTCGGACACCGTGTTAAAAAATTATCGCTGAACATACATAAAAAATGAAGAGTTTGAGGATTTTCTCATGGACCCAATTATTAGATTTTGACTAAATTTATATGGGACCACCCCTGAAATACCCCCTTTCTAACAAAAAAAGAATTATTGAAATCGGACACCGTGTTAAAGAATAATCGCTGAACATACATTAAAAAAAAAAAAAAAAATATCGCTACGAATTGATAACCTCCTCCTTTTTTGAAGTCGGTTAAAAAAATCACAAAAAAATTTTCAACTAGGTTACTTCAAATTTTTTTTAATATTAATTTCTCAATAAATCCAAGGTAACCTATATATTTTATTGTAAATAACAAAACCTAAATATTTCAAAAACCCTATTTTTAGTTTTTTTCTACTGCATCTAATCAATAAATAATATAATTCGAGAATTGTTGTTGAGGTCTTATTTTCTCATAAGACACTGTACAAATACTCACATTTTAAAAAAAAAATTATCAAAAATTTGCTTGGTAAGGTATAGTTAAAAGTTCAACATTAGATAAATAAGGACTTCAACTATTAGAAAAAAAATAAATTTTAGTCATAATCTAATATTTTTTATTTAACATTGGTGGCGAAAGGACCTCCTTAAGTACTGACAGCAACGAGGTTATTCTGCAAACGAAAGTAGGCTTTTTAATCAAATCTGACCAAAATAAACCGAATATTATAGACAATTTAAAAAAACTCATTGAAACCAAACATATTTTAAACTACTCTGAAACAAAACCTTCAACTCAGACATCGGTATACAATAGCAATACATCAAAAAATACGTATAGTGTGGTCATTGGATCTGTAGAACAAGATATAACAGATGAAGAATTAAGCTCATTCCTTATGAATTCAAACATAAATCACAGATATTGTAAAAGAATAACGTCTAAAGCAACAAATAAAGCAACATACATGATAAGAATCATATCTGGATGCCTACAATCCACAGAAAAAATATTAAATGAAGGTGTATTTTATAAACACAAACATTTTCCAGTGTATCCTAGTCTGCCACCAGCTCCAATCCCTCAGCCGTGCTCTCGCTGCCAACA